CCTTCTGATGGCTACCGTATGCTTTTAATGCGTGTGTATGCTAGTGCATATGCTGAGACAGCAGTCTGTCAATCTTTCCACAAGGAACTGTGATAAACATTCTGTGTGTTTTTCGTTGGCACAGGAGCGGAGCAGCCATGAGGTGACCCGTTTCCTATGAAGTTAAAACTAACATTAACATTAAAATTAACATATATTTTATAAAGTTAACGAATATTTTAACAAACAATAGAGGAACGAATGTTTTATAACATAAAAGAAAAAAAAAAAACTATTGTTTTGATAAAATGCTTGTGTTTTAATAATATCACCGGAAATGACGAAATACTCGTGATCAGGATAGATGTCTAGTCTGTTAGAGACAGGGTGAAAAGTTCAAGGGGCAGAGTTCAAAGCTTAAATTCACATGTAATCAATCATCCCCAACCGTCAATTCCATATTGGAAATCAGTGATAACGAGTCTACAACAGTTTTTGTTGCGTTTTTTTACATCTTTTGTGTTTTCTTCTTCTTCTTCTTCTTCTTCTTCTTCTTCTTCTTCTTCTTCGTCTTCTTCTCTCTCTCTCTCTCTCTCTCTCTCTCTCTCTCTCTCTCTCTCTCTCTCTCTCTCTTTCTCTCTCTCTTTTCATTATCCTCAGTACATTACGTCGCTCTTGGCACGAAAGACTCTCTTTCTCTAGCCAAATCTCCAGCCCTGTGTGCTTTTTTAGCAAATGCATCTTCAATGTCTTGTATCCACGCATTGGCCGAGGTCCGCCTCTGATTCGATTTTCGTTTTTCCGCTCTTGTTAATACAAAGTTTTAAAAAAAAATGTCCAAAGAATCGAATTCATTGCACCAGGTTTTGTTGTATCCCACATGGCTAGATTTCTTTCCGAACAATGGCTGGTGCCGACTGAGAGCATCCCACGGAGCACAAACTCAGCATCTCCGGCGACGATTCCCAGGAATCTCCGTAAAAATTGCACTCGTGAACAGAACGATGCTGCCGTGAAGTGAACCCGTGACTTTCAGAGTGCGAGGCAAATGGTTTAACCCCTCCCCCCCCCCCTGACACACACACACACACACACACCCACACACACGCGATTTGGGATTTTTAGAGTAGTTATCTAAACAAAACTACTCTCCCACTCTCTTTCTCTCCCGTTCTCCCTTCCTACCTTTCTCAACATACCTCTCTCACATACACTCTCTCGCTACACACACACGCGCGCGAGCGTGTATACACACACCCACACACATATAGATATATTAAAAAGTTGCATTAAAAAGTCTCATACATAGATTTATGCACATAATATTAAACGTATAGATAAAATGTTAGAATATAAACATAAATATCAGTCTCCCCCACCCCTCCCTCCCCCGATCTCTTCCCTGTGTAAAAATATATGCACATAATATTATGTAAAGATAAAATAAAATACATGTAAATGTTATTCTTCTCATTGTAATGATCCACAGACACAGAACAAACTATTGCTTTGCATTTAAATCAGAACAGTCCATACGATCGTTCATTCATTCATTCATTCATTCATTCATTCATTCATTCATTCATTCATTCATTCATTCATTCATTCATTCACTCACTCATTTATTTATTTATTCCCTTATTCATTCATTTATTAATTCCTTCATTCATTCATTTCTTCATTCATTCATTTTTTCATTCATTCACTTATTCGTTCATTCATTCATTCACTTATTCATTCATGCATTCATTCATTCACTTGTTCACTCATATATTCGTTGTCCCATTGTGCATTTATTTGTCATATAGGGCTCGCAATCTGTGGCTCCATTCCGTTCGGTCCTAAAAAATCACTTCAATATCGTCTATGGGATCCAGTCCAGCAGCTTTGGCCTCTCTCTTCAACGTTCGCCTGAGGATTTCACTTGGATCTCCTCGTCTCCTCAAACGATCTATTTCCCATTTCACTGCCTGTCTGGGGATTCTCTTTCAATATCTTCTCAGAATGCGTACAGTATGGCGTCATCTACATATATACATACATACAGGCACAAAAACTTTATGAAGAAAAATTAGTTCCTCGACAGTACATTACATTGTCAGTAAAAAAAAAATGTAAAGATCTCTTTTCACGCCTTTGGGCGAATCGGGCATATGTGAAGAGCACCCATATTGTTACAGACCAATCGGCGGCATTACGCCGGCTGTCTTTACTTTCCCATTTCAGGCTGGGTCGACCTGCGACGCCCCATACCATGATAGAAATACGCGCAGCCAGCAGTGGGTTTTGATCGCAGTACGCTGGAATTACGAGTCGGACTCGCAACGCTTAAGCCACGAACGCCGCATATTGTCAGTCAAGTTTTTTCCCGTTTCTCTATTTCTGATTTTAAAATGTAAATGATTGGACTCGGTTGTTCTGGCCATATTAATGCCTACATTGTTTTTGGTAAGTTAGTTAATTTTCACTTTATCTTCATTGCACATCAGACAAGCCCACAAGCGCTCAGATCCCATCTTCAGCGTGTGGCGACTGATAACACCAGTTCTGTGTTGGTCTACTATTCTTCTTTGGCTACCTGTATAGTGTTCATGTTTGGCGACACTTTTTGTGTTGACCTGAAGTTCTTGCAGTCTTTTGAATGCTGCAAATTCAACGTCGCCTCCTGAATCATCTTCTCGTGGTTTTCCAGTACCTAGTGGCCCTGCCAGCAAGCCAATCCGCTCATTCATTCCCTCTTACCCCAGAGTGTCCTGGCACAAAAATAAACTAGTTCCTATCAGACTTGATTCCCTTTGTAAATCCAGCCATTTTCTTGGAATACATCCTGTCTCTATATGCTTAAGCATGCTCATGAAATCACTTAAAAAGCACGCATCGGAAAAATACTGTGTGTCTAGCCACATCATTGCGGTCTTACCACAAACACATTGTTTCGGAATGTCAGGCAAAACTTTTTATGCTACCAACATGTCAAAAAAAAAAAAGAGTGCTTCTTAAAAATTACTTTATAATAGAAAATTACGAAACAAAGAAACTTTGCATTCACAAAGAGGCAGGCACTAAAATAAAGTGCAACAGTTTACGTAAGCAATTAAAACAAATCATAAATCATTTATATTCCATAATATGTATGGATAAATGTTAATTTGACATTCATTGTTTTGCTATTTCTGATAAATCACAACACCCTAACAGAAAAGAGTTTGCAAAGAATACTAAATTCTGAAGTGCAACTTCTATCTGGTCACTTGGGAATGTTGAATTAAGAATCGAAATGGCAGCACTCGAAAAACCCTCCTAAGCGCTTTGTCCCCATCTTCAGCAGCAAGCGAAGAGTTAAAATTCCGATGGTACCAGTAACTGTCTGATTGTATATCCGTCTCGCCTTTCCCCTGAGTGTCGAGCGTCGGCCAGATCCCCTGGTAACTCTTCGCAGTGCCATTCTATTCAGACCGTAATGATCTTTCTGCTTAGTCACTTGGGATTTTGTTGTTTTGAAGACGGCGTACACTATTTCCCTGTTTATTTGTAATTGCATCATTGTCCGTTTCTAGAACCCGATTAGGGGTGGTCGAGAGATGGAGAAAAGGCGCACTGCCTCCAACAAGCATGTCGTAAAAGGCCACTACTGAGTGACGAGGAACCATCAGTCTGCATACAAATAAACCTGATCTGTACAACGGATGTGCACGTAAAACTCAAGTTCTGAAATAAGACTAAAGTCCAGAAGTGGGTGAACAGCCAGGACTTTCCGCCAGAGCTTACATCTGGTGAGTGCTAAGAAGAATAAAGAGGCGAAGAAAAAGCAGAAGAAAGAGACGAAGAAGATGAAGAAGAACAAGAAGAAGAAGATATGCTGATGAAAGCTTTCTTACCGCAACATTTAAGACTGTGCTGTTGTAAAGTTTACTAGTTTTACTTCTTGTAAAGACTGACATTTTGTCATATCATCAGTATCCGGGGAGCCACCGTATTGTAGCAGTTACATGCTCGCCAGCGGATCCGAAGACCATGGGTTCAAATCCTCTATGTAGCAAAATGTTTGTGTACTCTGGCTTCAGGTCCGCCAAGCCTTAAATGAGTACTAGGTAAAGTCATGGGAAGTAAAAGCGACCGGCGTGATGCTGATCACATCATCCACCGAGTGCCGATTGATTTATAAAAAAAAGTCTAGCCCTATATGCCCAATACGCATGAAGGCGTGGAAAAGGGTCCTTTACTTTTCCTTTCTAGTGTCCGTTTTTTTTTTTTGGGAGGGACTGCAGGAGTCACTGATACCTGGAGACTCCAAAACATCACAGCATAACGGGCAACCGAGCGTGTCCTAGCTCGGATACCGATCACCTTTCAACATGCGATTCCCAGCGGCACAAAGCGGAATATGGACAAAAGAATTCACACTTGTCCGCTCGACAAAAGACACCTGACCATCTTGAGTGGGGACTTATTGCCAGGATACTCTGCCCTATGTTGCTGTTTGGGCTTGTGTCGAAAAAGGCTTTGGTCCTTTTCTTGTGTGTGTAAATTGGGTTAGGTTCACGTAATTATCCCCAAACAAAGTAGGTCACTTTTAATTCACAAGTTTGTTGGACTGGTCAACTTTCATGAAAGTTACGGGTGTGTCCCGCTCTGTTGTTTTCTTTCTGCGTTGTCTTGCATTTACGTTTTCATTCCAAGATGGAGAATGACTATGACATAGGTTGCACCACTTTCTAGGGGGTTTGTGTTAGACAAAGTTTCTCCATATTGTTGAAGTGCTAAAAGCGCTGGCGTGCTGAAATATACAACATGTGATATCAACAGCATTGCAGACCAACCCCGTAACCTTTGTGCCAAGGTGACATGGTTAGGAACCACCAATCAGAAGTGAGCTAGTGTGTATTTGGGCGGGGCGTGGGGAAACTAACGTTACTTTAACTGTAAGCTGTCTTCACCCCTCCCCCTTTCCCCTTTCCGTTTTTCTTCCTGTTAACCTTTTTTTCGTTAAGCTTTTTAGTGACAGATCAGTAAACTAATTTTCAGTTAGAACGTGTTTGCGATTCAGCATCCTTCGTCTTTTTCTCATTCATGAGTTCAATGGCGAGTTCATAAGTTGGCAGATCTGCCGGAGTGACAGACGAGGCCACAGAGAGATCCGACCAAACTCTATGGAAACCAAATACTGGGACGTGCATGCCCGGGAACGAGGGGTGCCTGGAGGCTTCAACGTCCCCATCAAAAGCATACCCTTGATTGTCATAACCTGTAGCCCCCTGGTGTTTGAGTGGGATCGTCCGATGACACGGACACGCGCAGGGGTCAGAGATGTCCGCGGGGTTTAGGAGTGAAGGGTTTAAAGAAAGAGACAAATCCGAAGATGATGATAAGTGTGATGACTGTGGTGATGATGTTTCTAAAGTTTCTGAAATACTGTTCTGGGAGATAATTTGATCTTGACTGTTTCCTGTCTGTGGATTATCGGTGTCAAGGGTCGCGTTTGCGTCACTCTGTGTGTCACCAATAGATATGACTTCTACTAAAGATGTTTCTGTTGCAATACCACTGGACACATCCGCTTCTGCAATAGCAATAACAATTTTCGGAGAAGCTTCATAAGATGGTGTTGACATAGAAATGGGCTCTTCATTTGAAGGATGTGAGCTGCTGGGAGCGTCTGTTGCATATGGTTGGGGATTTGGTGCTTCAGTGAGGATCAAAGGTGGATTGAGTATTTCTGTTGAGGCTAAAAATGGATAAGCTACCTCGATTGAGACCGAAGGTAAACTGGCTACCTCTGATGAGGCTAAAGGTAAACTGACTGCTTCTTTTGAGGATAAATTGGTTGCCCCATTTGAGGCAAGAGATGAATTGGATGCCTCGACTGAGGCTACAAGTGAATTGATTGCCTCTGTTGAGGCTAAAAGTGAACTGGGTATCTCTGTTGGTGATTTAGTAACCTCTTGTGAGACTAAAGGTGAACTTGGTGACTCTATTGAGGCTAAAGGTGAACCTATCGTATCTATTGACGATCCAGTTGATATGTGCACCTCAGTTGAAGCCAGTGGTGAGCTGGGTGCCTCCTTGACCGTCAAAGATGAATTTGGTGCCATTTTAGGTGAACTGTGTGTTTTTGTAAGAGCTAAAAGTGAATCGGGTGTCTTTTCCGGATATAGATATGAGATGGAGCTGTCTATTGCATCTGTAGGTGAACTAGGTGCCTCTGTTAAATCTGACTGTGAACTCAATTCTTTTGTTAGAACGAATGATGAACAAGGTGTCTCATTTAGTGCTGCCTCTGTTAAAAGCGAAGGTGAACAAGAATCAACAATCTGTGCTGTAGGTGAAAAAGCTTCTTCTGTTGGAGCTGAAGGTGAACAAGTATCCTCAGCTGAAGGTGAACAAGTATCCTCAGCTGAAGGTGAACAAGTATCCTCAGCTGAAGGTGAACAAGTATCCTCAGCTGAAGGTGAACAAGTATCCTCAGCTGAAGGTGAACAAGTATCCTCAGCTGAAGGTGAACAAGTATCCTCAGCTGAAGGTGAACAAGTATCCTCAGCTGAAGGTGAACAAGTATCCTCAGCTGAAGGTGAACAAGTATCCTCAGCTGAAGGTGAACAAGTATCCTCAGCTGAAGGTGAACAAGTATCCCCAGCTGAACGGGGTACGGCTTCTTCCACTGGAGATGAAGGTGAACGAGGATTCTCAGCTGATTCTAAAAATGAGATTGGGACATCTGTAAAAACCGAAGGAGGATTGGAAACGTGAACAACGTCAGTAGGGATGTTTCCTGTGTTTTCCTCCCCATTCTCCGAGTCTCCCTCGATCACTGGTTCCGTTTGTTGCTCTTGAGAAACACTAACTGACCCTGTCCACGCAGACTGCCCAGTGGAGAGAGCGTGTTGCGGACTCCTTTGCTTTCCAATAATGGATGCAACGCTGCATGAATCCCGCTGGCACTGCTGGCAAATCGGAATGTTATCCCGAGAAATCGCGAACACTGACGAACCGGAAGTAGCATGGCCAGTTTTTCCAAACAAATCTTGATAAGATGGCGGCGGGTTGGCCACGCCCGAAGCTACGGACGAGGAATCATCGTCATAATCGTCACCGTTTGCCCGGTTCAACCTGTTCCGGGCCCGTCGCTCGTTTCGTCGTTGTTGTCGGCGCCTCCTGCAGACGTAAGTCCACAGCATGCGGAGAAGAAAGATGAGAATTGGAACGACTGCCAGGATGATGTAGATGCGTACGTCGAATTGTGGGTAGGATCCATTGTTGTCCTTGTCCCCAGTATCTGAGGAGTGGAAGAAGGGTGGGTTTGGTTAGCTGGAGAGTGTTGTTGCTGTAGAGCGTCAGGTGGTAAAGGGGTGGATGAAGGGATACACTCAGAGACAGAGAGAGAGAGAGAGAGAGAGAGAGAGAGAGAGAGAGAGAGAGAGAGAGAGAGAGGAGAGAGTAATAAAATCCCAGTATGTTCTACACCTGGTACTAAGAAAGGGAGAGAAAGAAAAGAAAGCAATAGAGAGATCACAGAGAGAGCAGCAGACAGAGAACATACAGAGAGGGAAAGAGAGCGTCATATAATCCCTAACTGTTCTTTATGTGGCTCTGAGAGAAGAGAGAGGGATAGAGGAGAGAAGGGGCAGAGAGTGTAGAGAAAAAGAGAGAGGCACAGAGAGAGAGAGAGAGAAGGAGGATGCTTAAAGAGTTATAAAATCCGTATCGGTTCTGCACCTGGCAATGACAGACAGAGAAAGAGAGAAACGGAAATTAGATTGTGTGTGAGAGAGAGAGAGAGAGAGAGAGAGAGAGAGAGAGAGAGAGAGAGAGAGAGAGAGAGAGAGAGATCGGTTCTGCACCTGGCAATGACAGACAGAGAAAGAGAGAAACGGAAATTAGATTGTGTGTGTGTGTGTGTGTGTGTGTGAGAGAGAGAGAGAGAGAGAGAGAGAGAGAGAGAGAGGAGACACACAGATAGTCACTTATGAGGTAATGAATATACGTTTATGATGACATGAACATCCAGCAAGAGATGTACAAGACAGTCAAGTACGAGTGGCAAGGAACCACGAATTAATAATAATAACAATAATAATAATAATAATCCATATTATAAATCACAAACCCTTTCTGAATGAGTGGGTGAAGTTCAGCTCAAAACGTGATAAAACTCCCGGTGACACAAAGTGCCACTAATCGGATGAGACTTAACCAGATTGAAGTGCCAGAAGCCCCCTTCAAACGTTAGGTTATTTGAGGCCCCCAACTACAGGTAGGTAGGTGCTTTGCTGGGGGGGGGTTGGGGCTGGGGGGGGGGGGGATTGTCACATTTAACCTGCATCCCCGAAGGGTATGTGCGCCATATAAAATGACTTAACATTGCATGGCAGCAAGAGCCACGAAAAGGCCTCCTGCAGTGTGGATGCGATAAAAGTGTTGGGGATAAGGGTTAAGGATGAGGGTTAAGGATCAGGGTTGGGGATCAGGGTTATGGATCCTGATTAGAGATCAGGGTTAGGGCTCAATGCTAGGGATCAGGGTAGGGATCAGGGTTGGGGATCACGGTTAGGGATCAGGGTTAGGGATCAGGGTTAAGGATCAGGGTTAGTGATCAGGGTTAAGGATCAGGGTTAGGGCTCAATGCTAGGGATCAGGGTAGGGATCAGGGTTAGGGATCAGGGTTAAGAATCAGGGTTAGGGATCAGGGTTAGGGATCCTGATTAGGGATCAGGGTTAGGGCTCAATGCTAGGGATCAGGGTTGGGGATCAGGGTTAGGGATCATGGTTAGGGATAAGGGTTAGGGATCGTGACTAGGGATCATGATCAGAGATCGTGATTAGGGATCAGGGTTAGGGATCAGGGTTAGGGTCAGGGCTAGAATTAGGTGTAACTTTAGCGGTGTCACAGAGGCGGTCAGGGCTGAGAAAGATCCTAACCCTAACCCCGATCCAGTTCACCTCTAGAATGCTGGACTTTCCCCGAAACTCTGGGATTCCCTTTTTTAGGGTGAATTAAAAATGAATTACCCGATCCCCACATGGCCGTACTTGCTTAATACTGATAAGTTGACCTCTTTTCTACCACCATTACTTCCTTACACAATAAAACAACGAACACTTACAATGACAGCGGAACCTAACGCTGTAGTCATCACAGATAGACCCTTCCGGCTGGTCTTCGTTTGCGCAGACCACTCCCTCTGTGGTACAGAATCTCTGAAGGTTGTCTTTGATCAGCTCTTTTGGCGTCTGCTCCGTGAAGGTATTCTGGGGGTCTCCGTTGATGCTGCATTCTGCGGCCGTGATTTCGTAATCCTTGTCGCAGATTTTGAAAGTCTGTTGAAAACAGAAGTAACACGCATGCGTTAATTACCTAAAGGTAAAGTCGAGAATATTGAGCACCTCTTCTCCTCCTCCTTCTTCTTCTTCTTTTTCTGAGTGGGTTAATTAGTAAGTGAGTAAGTGGGTGGGTAGTTGAGTGGATGGAAGGGTAAATGAGTGAGTGGGTGCATGAGTGAGCTGGTGGGTAAGGGAGATAGTGGGTGGGTAAGTGAGTGAGGGGGTGAGTGAGTGCGTAAGTAATTGGGCGACTGAGTGGGTGGGCGGATAGTAGGTTAGTGAGTGGGTGGGTAGGCGAATGGGTGGGTGTGTAAGTATGCGAGGGAGTGAGTACCTGTGTGGATTAGAAAACGGGTGACGAAGAGGGTGGGCAAAAGTGTGAGTGGGAGAATGGTTGCTGGGGTTGATAAGTATGTGTGTGTGTGTGAGTGAGTGTGTGAGTGACAGGCTGGGTTCTTGGGTGAATAGGTAAGTGAGTTAGTAAGTTAATTAGTGAACAAGTAAAATACAGGTTACAACAAACTCACTCGTTGTATTCGGTACACGGTCTCATAGTCGCCATTGTTGTACCCATGTGTAGGCGTGTCCACGTCGAACCATCTGGTCCAGGTGTCCGGTTTACTGCCCATAGCATCTGTCCCTGAAGAAGACCAGAAGCAAGAGAGGTCACATTTGCCGAGAAGTGCTCGCTGAAGCAGAAAATGTGCTCCCAAAACTCAGCGTTGGTAATGGAAATGACACCCACAAATACCCACCACAACTACATCTGGTGAAGTTGTAACGACTATCAAACAGGCGTACTGACCACTGCCCAAAGACGTCTTTTTATCAGAAACCCGTAAAGGTCGGAAAACAGGCTTTCTTGGAGCGACAAATTTCAACGGTTAATAAAACTGATTTCCTTTGTGGGTTCCAGAGCCTCGTTGTGGGAGAAAGCAATAATAGACCCACTGCTTCACAAACAAGCATGTCGTAAGAGAAGACTTATTAGCGACCATTTTAGTCGAAGTGCAACTGACAGAGAGGCAAGGAACAAACAGTCTGCATACAAATAAGTCAGATATGTAAAACGGATGTGCACGCAACATTCAGGTTCTGGAACAAGTCTAAAATCCAGAGGTGGACGAACAACCAGAACTCTCCGCCGTCGTATGCAGCTGGGGAGCGCAAAACAGAAAAAGAAGAAAATGTCCACTGCCCAAAGACGTCTTATCAATAAAAACCCGTAAAAGTCGGAAAATAGGCATTCTTAAAACGACAGATGTCAACGGTTAATTTAACTGCTGTCTGTGAAAAGACAACAGGAACACCATATTATCTGTGGAATGATCGAGAACCACATTATGATTGTTAATTACCCAACGAGTAAATCCTGGGTCGACTCGGAAGCAAAGGTTTATGTTGAAATATCCATCGTGATTTGAACATAAAGCCTTCGGGCTGGCAAACAAGTTTCTAGTCACTACGCCAACTCAGCTGCTATGTGATGATGAATGTGATGATGATAAAGTCTAAGAAGAATTAGGAACTGCATCGTTAGTTAGTCAGTCATTCAGTCAGTCAGTCATTATGTCAGTCATTCAGTCAGTCAGTCAGTCAGATAGTTAATTAATTAGTTAGTTTAGATTGTTTAGTTTAGTTAGCTAGTTAGTTAGTTGGTTAGTAGCTAGATATTTAGATAGTTTGTTAGTTGGCCAGTTAGTTAGCTATTTAGATAGATATTTAGTTAGTTAGTTAGTTGGTTGGTTAGTTAGTTAGTTAGTTAGTTGGTTAGTTAGTTAGTTAGCTAGTTAGCTAGTTTGTAAGCTAGTTAGTGAGCTAGTTAGTTAGCTAGTAAGATATATATTTACATAGTTAATTACTTAGCTTAGATAGTTGTATTCACTTAGTTAGTTATCTAGTTAAAGAGTTTTATTTAGTTAGTTATCTAGTTAAAAAGTTTTATTTAGTTAGTGATCTAGTTAAAAAGATAATAAATTAGTTAAATAAATCCACTACAACCTGGTATTAGTGAGACGTCAAAAGAAGAAACAGTAGCAGTAAGACAACAAGCATCCAGTCTTACCTCTGCAAAGCAGATACAACTAACTGACCCAGGGAGAAAGAATAAAAAAGATAACTTTAAATAACATCTGCGAAATCTCCAAACTGCGGCTGGATCAAGTAGGGTGCGGCCAACCAGCCAACACATTCTTTTTATGGGCAAATATGACGTCAAAATAGACCAGGTTTTTCAAAAAGTAGAAGGCGAAAATACGAAGTCAAAAACACACAGTACATGAGCCGTAAACTTTTATTGTAGAGATTGTGCAATCTTGACTTCTAAAGTTCCGGTCTCTGGTTACATCAGCGGAGCTAATTCTAGTTATTTACTCAAGCCTTATGTAGTTGTTACATTATTATTATTCCACGTTCCTTTTTGGAAGATTTTTTTTCGTTCCAGTACATCCTATTTTAGTCGGCTCAGTGGCTAAGTCGATGCGAACGCTTCGTAATGCCGGGTTCGATCCCAGCTGCGGGCCATGCGCCTTGCGATGGTTTCGACAGTGGTATCAAGATAGCCGACCGTCCAGGAGCAATGGCAAACTACTGGACGTAAATTTGCCTAGAAAAACCACACAACAGCCAGGGGCTGTTGGGGTTGGTTCTGCAACGTCCTGTCAAGGATAAGCAACTAACCTAACATCCTATTTTAGCAAATTCGTAATTAGTCGCCTTTTACGACCTGGTTGTTAAAAAAACATTATTTATATAATAAACAAACAGATACTGTATTGATTGGCACTCACTGAATGAGGTAGAGAGGCAAGAGGGCGAACGCTAGACCAGTGTTCTTGAACCAGTTGACCACTTTTGGGCCGCAGGAAAGTCCAGGATGATTTGCCTAGCCAGGTAATGGGGTAGAGTAGGCGACTATTAGCTTCAAAGACTGCAGTACGAAGGATTAACTTATCAAGGATAAACATAGAATACGTAAAAATACAGGGAACTCCGCTTAACCTCATTGATCTCACAATAACTTGCTAGATCTTATAATAACTTTATAGATCTTATATTAACCTCACAGTTCTTACAATAACTTCATAGATCGTATAATAACTTCATAGATCTAACAATAACATCACAAATCTTACAATAACTTTATAGATCTTATAATCACCTCACAGATATAATAATCACCTCATAGATCTTATAATAACTTCATAGATCTTATAATAACTTCATAGATCTTACAATGACATCACAGATCTTATAATACCGATCTTATAATAACTTCACAGGTTTTATAATCACCTCACAGATCTTGTACTAACCTCACAAATCTTACAGTAACCTTGCAGATCTTACAATTATCTTACAGATCTTACAATAACCTCACAGATCTCAAAATATTCTCACAGATCTTACAATAATTTCACGGATCTTACTATAACATCACAGATCTTACAATAACCTATGAGATCTTAAAATAACTTCACAGATCTTATAATAACCTCACAGATCTTAGAATACCTTTACAGATCTTACAATAACCCCACAGATCTTATAATTACCTCACAGATCTTATAATCACTTCACATATCTTATAATCACAGCACAGATCTTATAAACACCTCACAGATCTCATAATAACTTCATATATCTTATAATCACAGCACAGATCTTATAATCACCTCATAGATCTTATAATAACTTCATAGATCCTATGATAAGTTCATAGATCTTACAATAACCTTACAGATCTTACAATAACCTTAAATAACCTTACAGATCTTACAATCTAACATTATAGATCTTACAATAACCTTACAGATCTTTAAATAACCTCACAGATCTTACAATAACATCACAGATCTTACAATAACCTTACACATCGTACAATAACACCACAGATCTTACAATAACATCACAGATCTTACAATAACCTCACAGATCGTACAATAACCTCACAGATCTTACAATAACTTCACAGATCTTACAATAACCTTACAGATCTTACAATAACCTCACAGATCTTAAAATAACCTTACAGATCTTACCATAACCTCACAGATCTTACAATAACCTCACAGATCTTACAATAACCTCAATGATCTTATAATAACCTCACAGATCTTACAATAACCTCACAGACCTTAGAATAACCTCACTGATCTTATAATAACCTGATAGATCTTATAACCCCCGAGCAGCGACCGATGCCGCTAGAGCTAAAAATTGTAATTTTTTTTTACATCAAATTTAATAAAATGGCCGCTATCGATCAAAAAGGAACTTTACTGGTGGTGAATTACAAGTACCAGTCGTCTCCATGTGGGATTTAACTTTCGTTATTTAGAGCCCTAACCTGGGGCCCTGAATAAGCCGGCCTGTAAATATGACCTCACGGCTGAACTGGGTTGCTGGGACCTCCCCACGGGTGATCCTCATCCGCATTGTGGCACTTTGTGTCACCGGGTGTTTACTGCTTGTGTGATATCCTGGTGGGGTACGAGAGAGAGAGAGAGAGAGAGAGAGAGAGAGAGAGAGAGAGAGAGAGAGAGAGAGAGAGAGAGAGGGTGAACATTCACACACACACACACACACACACACGCACACACACACAAACTACGTGTTATTGTACACGATTAACCGGATTCCTAAATACCGATCTATCCGACATTGACAGATAACACTGGAAAGATAACAATATGTATTTTTATCTGAAGGAAACACATGTGGCCTTTATATAACGCGTACGTTATACAAGGGGCGCTGACGCACACAATACATGGAGGGGGAGGGAGGGGGTTCTCAGTCCCTCTATTATTTTCTAGAAGGTGAGGGCCCTCAGGGGACTTGAGCCTTGAGCCTTGAGCCTTGAGCCTTGAGCCTTGGGCCTTGAGCCTAGTTTAAAGTCGATAACCTTATTCTTGTTTTGTCGTCTCACTGAACAATACCTGTTATTTAGTTAGTTAGTTAGTTAGTTAGTTAGCTAGTTAGTTAGTTAGTTAGTTAGTTAGTTAGTTAGTTAGTTAGTTAGTTAGTTAGTTAGTTAGTTAGCTAGTTAGTTAGTTAGCTAGCTAGTTAGTTAGTTAGTTAGTTAGTTAGTTAGTTAGTTAGTTAGTTAGTTAGCTAGTTAGTTAGTTAGTTAGCTAGCTAGCTAGTTAGTTAGTTAGCTAGTTAGTTAGTTAGTTAGTTAGTTAGTTAGTTAGTTAGTTAGTTAGTTAGTTAGTTAGTTAGTTAGTTAGTTAGTTAGTTAGTTAGTTAGTTAGTTAGTTAGTTAGTTAGTTAGTTAGTTAGTCAGGAAATTAGCTAGCTAGCTATTTAGTTAGTTAGCTAGTTAGTTATTTAGTTAGTTAGTTAGTTAGTTTGTCAGTTAGTTAGCTAGTTAGTTAGTTAGTTTGTCAGTTAGTTAGCTAGTTAGTTAGTTAGTTTGTCAGTTAGTTAGCTAGTTAGTTAGCTAGTTAGTTAGATATTTAGTTAGTTAGTTAGTTAGTTAGTTAGTTAGTTAGTTAGTTAGTTAGTTAGTTAGTTAGTTAGTTAGTTAGTTACTTAGTTAGTTAGTTAGTTAGTTAGTTAGTTAGTTAGTTAGTTAGTTAGTTAGTTAGTTAGTTAGTTAGTTAGTTAGTTAGTTAGTTAGTTAGTT